TGGGCTCTTCTGGGACTTTTGGAGACCAGTTTCAGTTTTATGCCCGTTGTTTCCGCCTACGAGGAGATAATTTTAGCGGTAAGTACGTCAGTAAATTTGCCTTCAATATTGTCTGCATGAATTAGACATTATAGGGTCGTCATGTATTGATTCAGAGTTGTCCCCAACTTTATTTGCAAGAACGACCGAGAAGGTTGCGATAGAATTGTAAGCTGTTAACTGAATTGGAGAATTGAAAAGCAGACTAGTACTGGATACTGACTACTGGATCTGGATACTGGGCACTGGATACTGAATACGGGATACTGAATACTGAATACGGGATACTGAGGAGCTGTACAATGATGCAGGACTTATAAGGTTAGAAACAGGATGTAGTTAAAGTCACAAAACTTAAGAAAGGAAAGTCTTACTCACGTGTCTTAGCTAGATTCTTAGAACAATGACTGTGAATGAAGAATTTCACCTTAAAACAAAGTCCTTGGTGGATGATAGTACAAGCTTAAATGAAGCATGCTGAAGTGTGCCACAGCCTCTGGGGTGACAAGGTCAAATAGGCGGAAGCAATATACACTGTACAAGAAACTGTGTTGGTGCACTCTTACAATAAAAATGCAGTGAGTAATGTGTCTAAGAAATGGCAAACAGGATATTTACAGGAAAGGAAAAGTTATCAAAGTTAAAAATGAAGATTCTGAATGCTAAATTCACTAAAAGAAATAAATGCAAATAATTCAAGTAATTGTGCAGAAAACGCTACAACATACAAGTGTTCACAGAAGGTTTTTTTTTTTCAAACTAGAACAATGAACTAGGGCTATAAAATCCCTCTTCTCCCCCCTTATGATTTTGTAAATCGTTGTCTCTTCTGAACGAGTGTATCCGGCTGTAATTGAAACATCACAGGCCAAGTTAAAATTAACGACCAAAGTGTTACTTTACTCTAATCAGCCATTGTGATCACGCGATAAATGATTATTAGGGCCGAAGGGTCAGTTTTCATTTCTCTAACAATGCATTCATGAACATTGCCCCCTCCCTACAGACTTTCCTCCTGTGTATCTTGCAGTGGGTTTTAAAAACAATTACGTATATTGGTAAAATGATCCATACTGAATAATCATAAGATCTTTGATCTGTCATATGATCACTGTACAAGGGACTTTTTCAAATTTTGATTAACTAAAAAAAAGCAATAGAGGTTATGTCATCGTAAGTCCTTAGTTGTAAAAGAAGGTGCTTTATTTCTCAAGGGTCCCCAAAATTTGATAGTTCAAATAATCCGAATTAATCAGACCAAAATTTACCTACTGTTCTCATGTTGTTTAGTGTCTCTGCAAAGGCGTAGTTGGAAGAGTTGAAGATTAAAAGTTGACCTGATACCATACCATGAAACTTATAGCATGTCGCCGTTCTACCAAGAAGAAACAATATGAAAATTGTTTCAATTCGTTTTGAACGATTTCGGGCACAGCAAAACTAGTCGAACTGTTTGGTGATAGGAAAGCCTGCCTTTTGAATTTGCAAACATGTCTTATGATGTAGGAGTTCTGCTTGTTCTGGGAGGTATTTCGAGTGACCTTTGTGCCATTTGTTTAATATATTTTCTGGTGTATGCTATTTCATTTTTATTGAGGTAAAGAGGTAGACCTAATGTTATTTTTGCCGTGACCTTGTAGTCTTTGTGAGACTTCTAGAATATTTTTTTTTAACTTTTCGTCGGCAGTTTCTGTGTGTTTTTAAGAGCGCTAATGGGTTGACAGGCTATCCTAAAAAAAGGATGTTTCAACATTAATTGAAATTGAATTAAAAATCGAGAAATTGTGGCAATAAAACAGTGCTGGCAATTGGCCTTACGCGTGGCGGATTTTTAGCCTTTTTTTTTTTTTTTAATTCTTACAATGACGTCGTGCTGTGTATAGATAGGATATATATATATAATTGCCAGAAACAGTGTGATTTCATGATAATCCATATTATTTTTGAATAAGCTAGCCTGGCAATGTTCGGAAAATTAGCTTAGTGGTGTTTGTCACTATGCAACTGCATTGCTGACGACAGCCACAATAAGTGTGCCAAATCAGAAACTTGCACGCTTTGACCCGCAGTATTGGGACTTCGTGTGAAAGGAGATAGTTGCAAGGCTTCTATAAACGCCCTGGCCAAAGACTAAAGGCAGTGGTGATTCTGATAGCTGCGGGATAAGGTAAAAAATACTCTGCATCCTTGCTGAAATGTAGGCAGGGCTTGTCAAAATCAAGCACCCTTCGAATGTATCCTTTTCATGGTGGCGCTATTTGCGTATTCGCAACATTTGTGGATTTCAGTGCCACAAATTTCAGTAAAAAGTGCATTTGTGAAAAAGGGCCGTTTGGTACGAAAAAGGACAACTTTAACAAAGTATCTGATGTAAACACGGACCTTATTCTGAAAAAAGGTGCCCATAGTTACAACTTATGGGGGATGCCATTTATTCAGACAATTGATGCAAGTGCCGGTTGTGAATTAGGGTTGGGGGATAAAAATTTAATAAAAAAATAAACACCTTTACCTCGGATACGTTACTGTGTGACCGGTCCACATAGAATCGTAATGCAATTTTGAGGACAAAGGTGTACAGACGCATTAAATCAAACACGTACTGAGCTTATTACGGGAAAACAGACTGCTGAGCTTTAATACAAATTGCGTGTATGCAAATTAATCAATTGCTATTGAGAATATTAACTGCCAAATTGAGCTAAGACAATGAGAGGTCTGAGACAGTTCGATAGTAGATGCTTAACGCTGAAATTGTAATCTTGAGCAATTTGAACAAATATTGTTAGTGCTAGACATTGCCGGCAGAGGGACTCATTGATTATATGATTATGCAATACAATAGACAGCTTGTATTTGCCACGAAGCCATTTATAACACATATATCATTAAACTATTTTTTTACGAATATTGGGTATCAAAATGCCAAACTACAGCTTGGGCCTTATATTCCCCAATTTTAATACAATGTTTACAATTCTGGCTCGCTAAAGTTCACGCTTTCACATTGGTGTAGTCGATTATTCGAACAAGGACTTCAATTTGAACATCACGTTTTTTGGCTAAAATACACCTTCAAAACGATGATGGCAGACTTTTCCGTATACCTACTTGTCCTTGCATCATCCAAAATATTCGTAAAAATGTAAATGTAGTCTATACATCATAACGGCGTATCTACTGTTTTACAAACTATTCACAAATACGGAAAAAAATTAAATTAACTTAACCTTGTGGTCCTCGGAGACCCCGCATATGGCCCGTCTTATACAGTTGACAAAGTATCGGGTGGCCGAGCTTGGACACTTCTCCAATGTCGCATGAAATTTCAGATACCGATGAAATCCAGATCGTTTCCATTGTTACATTGGTTGAATATTAACAATCTTCACTTAATTTGCGGAATACTACCAATGATGAGTCTGCAGTTCAATCGAAAGTTATTAGCATTACAGTGGGCTTATTGCGTCTTGTGCCATCTGGAACAATAATCCCCACGTACTCACCGATCTCAAACTCTCAAAGAGACACATTGTTACAATAACATGGTTTCAAGGGTGTTCCAGAATATGAAGTAAAATTGTCAGAAATGTATAATTGCTGAAACTTATTTTGACTTTTTTACTGGACTCGGACCATTATCCGCGTTCATTCTCCTGATCCGATCTTATACTAACATTTATGACCAGCCAAACACATATATTTTTCCTCTGTATATGACTGGGCAAAGCCCAATGTAACAGTCATCCGGAGGAAAGCGTCTGCTTTGTATATGTTACATTTTCACAGAAAACCATTGTACTTATTTCTCCTATTTTTTTCATAGCCTTCGTTGGGTAATTTAATTAAAGCTGTACGAAATGCTTAGCATGGACCTGCAGAAAAACCAAGAAGAACGGTTCAAATATTAAACTACCATTTGCTTCTGCAGAAGCTCTATTCAGGCAAAGAGAGACTTGGATAGGATGTGTTAATAGGGTTAATCAGATGCTTCACAGTATTATCAAGAAATCAAAATATTTTTTCAACAACATAAACTAAAAAGTTAACCAAATCCTAGTTTAATCCAATTTAACGAAACTTTTGATGAGCTTATCACGAAAATACTAAGCAGTAAAACGAGCTCTGAGTATTCATGTTCCTAACTTGGCTTTGATTACACTAAAATCCAAGTTAAGCTCAGGCAAGGAATAGTACGAGACAGGAAGACGATAGATGCAATTACTTAAATTTTAAGGGATCACATCAAAAGTAATCAGAACAAATACAAATACGATTGACCAAACGATAACTGTCCAGAAACTGCATGGCAAAGTTATTTCAAATATCAATGTCTTTGAGTTTCAATTGCACCATAATTGCAGATCGATAGACATTTCAGGCAGAGAAATAATTTGTGATTACTTTAGTGCAGAGGGTGTGAGTACAACCAAGCCATACATAATTATGCGCCATACTCAAAATCTTACTTAAACTGTAGTTTTACAAAAACAGGCCGCTAAGAAATCAAGTAAATACCAAGCATAGCTTTAATTCCCCACGCATTTGTTTGGGTAAATAACTTTACTGTTTTACTACACAGGTAAAGTCGATTTATTGATCGAGTTAAGAACATCAGAACATTTAAACAGAGACAAAGATAGGTTTTTAACATACGCATTCGTCCTCACATCATCCAAAAATTACCTTTTGCCGCAAAAAAAACCTTCATACGTTTCTTAAATAAAGAAAGGTAGTGAAATTATTTGCTTAAATGACTACTGAGTAACATATTATGCGGGTGCTAGCTCCCTTTAGTTGTAACAAAAGTCTACAGGAAAATAGCTGTATGTATAGAAGTAAAACAACACAATCCAATCACCTTGATAGGTGACATGCTCTATTACATAAGCTATACATTTCCATTGCGTAAAGCTACACACGTAAAGCCAACATTTATCAAAAAATCTTTATCTGTCCAATTAGTTATCGTCAAACTCTAGTTGGATGACATGATTCTCGTAGATGTGTGGTGACATGTAGATCTGTGGAAAAATAAAACGGCTATTAAGTGCAACAGTGCCATCTGCACTCTTAATACAACCTAGTCAAAATGTTGACTGATTTTCTTAGTTGCTCAGAATTGACTACGGATTCAGTCAAACACCTACGCTGACGTTGGCAAATTATGCTTTCTGACAAGATTCCTATCCGATGCCTTTTGAAACACCAATGAATTCACTGAAACAAATCTAGTCAGATTGACTTATTTCCAGTTGCACCTAGCTGACCCTGACGAGCCAGTCAAATTTTACTGAATTCTTGTCGGATTTGACTGATCACTTTTAGAGGGTGAAATAATACGAACCTTGGAATAAGCTCACCAAATCGAGACAAAGCACCTACCAAAATAACAAAGACCTCAAAGCAAAACCCTCAATTGCACATTTATTTACAGGTTGCCTGGAAAAGAATTTAAAAAACCTCTTTGGGAAGCTATACATAAACATATAATGCCTGGATTTATCTAAATATACCAAACTTACATTCTCATCTGACTGTGCGTTCATTGCTTGAAGGGCAGCGCTAAGTTCCTTAAAACTCGGGCGTTTGTGTGGATCTGTCTGCCAGCACTTCATCATTAGATCGTATCTAGAAAGGATAATAACAAAAGAGTAATTCACCTGTAAAACAAACTACGAGGTATAGAAAGTTTCGTACCTATTTTGCAGAGTTGTAGGCTCGAGTCACTTGACTTGGACTCGAGTTGCTATTTTTGTGACTCGTGACTTGACTTGTAACTATCGGTTTTTGACTTGCGACTTGACTTAGTGAAAGTTTAGGGGGAAAAATGGGCCACATTACTAAAGCGAGAAGAGACATCATACATCGTGACCGTGTACCGTGTGCGACAATGTGTGACACGGTAAAATTGAAATGGGCTCAAATTTTTCGGTTATCTATGCTCATCGCAAGTTCATCGCCACTGCCCCGAACTATGTAAGGATATTTGTGAGTGCCTCAAAGCGTCCTTAAAAATGTTAGACAAGATGTTGGCTGATGTTTCAGCTTGAAAACGTCGTTCTTGAACGTGGAGCCCGTTGGCAGGTTGATTGAAGGCTATTTGGATAATGTCCGCCGATCATCACTCAAGTGATATGAAGGATGCATATCCTACATTATTACCATATTCTGGTGCCGCCCATGGTCATACAAAATATCCAAGACCTTCCTGTGTGGTTCGTTTCGGAGATTGCGGAATAACTATGGGATATCTTAGAAACAAGACGAGGCTGTAGGGAGTGAGAACTTGACTTGTACTTGGACAAAAGACTGGTGAACTGCTTGTGCTTGGACCAAATTAACTTTGAATCGACTTGACCAGTGATCATATGACTTGTGACTGGACCGAATGACTTGTGACTTGGCTTAGACTTGCAAAGAATGACTTGTGACTTGACTTGGACTGGCAAAAATTGACTTGTTTCCACCTCAGTTATTTTGTTTCGAAGTGGTAGGCAGGACCTCTGCAATGTTTGTGCATTTGTGGTAGCAGGCAACATTCTGTTCATTCACAGCATCCTCCAAAGTCACAGTGCTGGTTGTGACTTGTTTGGCGAAAAAAAGCCATTGTGACCAATGGTGTCTTACGTTAAAGATTAATCGTTCAGGTCAGCATTCAAAAAGCCGTACGTGATTGAATACCAAAGCTTACATTTCGTCGGCACAGTTTTGCGGTTTAGGCATTCGGTAACCGTCTTGCAGTCGTTGTGCCAAGAGCTTGCTCTGTATACCGGGATATGGCGTAGCCCCTTGAAAAAAGCAATCCGTAAATTTTCATGAGGAGCCAGGAATCTGGCAAAAGGGACATTTTCAACAGTTAATGACTTCTATTAGACTGGGGAAATATATCTGATTAGAAAACGACGTCAACACCACAAACAGAAAAGCCGAATTCTCGCAAAAAAAGCCCCAACAAAAGTTCCTTAAAAATGAAGGATTGTTTCTGCAGATTACACACCAAATGTCGCTATCTCCCACAAAACGATTCCGAAGGACCACCTGAAATCGAATTCAAAACAATACGCATTGTTTAAAATATTAAAAAGAACAGGCAGACAAGGAATCAATTTGAGCACCTTTAGTCGCAGGGTATAATTAGATATTATCCAAATATTTGAAACAAAAAGGTACAGCTGTTGTTTTTCATATTAGGGCCTACTGTATGGAAAATTTCTCTAGTAATTATTTACATGCTTCAAGTAAATAATAACCTCTTGACCGTTATTATTATTAATAATGAAGATACACAAGTTGAGACTGAACTCACACGTCACTTTTGGACTTATATTCACGGTGGGTCAGAGACTCGATGGCCAACCAGCGGGTAGGAATCCTCGTCTACACGACGAGTAAAAAACAAATGGAAAAGATTAAATCGGTTAAAATTCAGAAGTGTCGTTAGGTCTGTGTGGAGATATGACGGTGAATCCAGGCATTGGCAGGATTGGAAACTTCTTCGAGTGAAAGACTGCTGTGCATCAAAACGTAGCAGTGATAAATCACTTTAAATTTTGAGAATGGATTCTTTTTGAGCAAACTTAAATAATGCATATCAATTAATGATTTTCAGTTTTGTAAACTTTATTAAATTTAGCGTTTACATAATCGGTATTCTATGAGTAGTTTAGAGGTATACGGAGGTGAAAGGTTTTACCATCGATTGCTGAACGTAAATGTCCTCTCCTCGAGACAGGCCAAAATCAGAAACCTTAGCAGTCAAGTCTTGAGCAAGAAGTATGTTCCTTGCGGCCAAGTCACGATGTATAATCTGTGACAGAGGGGCAATACGGTCAGAGGGATAAAAAACTACACAAATACGAGATACATGGGTGCTCTTTGGTTTGTTGGGTTGTTTGTTTGTTTGTTTGTCTGTTTGTTTTTATAGAAGTGTTTAGACATTAACGTCCACATGACATAATAATGACAACTTATCACTCTGACTTTAAGATTTCACATCTTAATTAATACTGAGTTTTATGCTGAAATAATATCTGGTGCATCAGCAATAGATTTTCATCCTTGGTGCTCATCAAAAGGCGTGGAAACTGATTTCATCGTCCAATGTGACGGATAGCTATTCTGATAACTATTCTGAATGTTAAGGAGTGCTGGTTTAATATGCTACTGTTTTTGATCTTTCACGGTACGTACCCCCGAGTTTGATAGATGTTCCATTCCTCTAGAAATATTTATACCGAATGTTAGCAAGTTTGAAGAAGTAAGCGGGGATACCCTCGCTGGAGTCGCTGTCCCTTCTTGGTTTGGGCAAGCACTCCTCAGATAGTCTCGCAAGTTGCCGTTTGGAAGATATTCCAGAACAACGTACAAACTGGCTGTGGGTGAGGACAAGTCAGCACAAGTAGTCGGATTGATGTAGCAAAGATATTTTGAAAAGAGTATCAAATTAATTGTTGAGGTAGTGTTTCAAAAGCTGGAATAATTCAAAAATGCCGTGATCTGTATGAAAAGGCGGGTCGATAATTAGTTAATATTTTACTGTGGCGTAAATAAGTGCCGGGAATCTCGGGGATAAGGGATTGTTGGAGAGGATTGCTTGCCCGGCATGGAAATTTGAAAAGGGGGGTGGTGCTGACACCAATGGGGGCGATGTTGATATAGGCATATTTATGTTCATATTCATGTTAAGATGTACAACACTTTTGCAGAACCTCACGTCAAACGGCATACTTGTGGCTTCTCAGTATATTTGGGTTGCTGGGAAGTCCTTAAAATTGTTCCTAATCTGCCTTGATTTTTTCCTCACAACAAAGGTGGGAGGGGGGTGATTTAACAGCCCATCCCCTCGTCAAGATGTGGGGGATATAAACCCGGCCTCAGAGCTACGCTCATCATATTTTAGTATCAATAGCTTTGATGATGGTTTGCTAGAGGCTTCCAGTTCTCCTCATAGGAAAGATTTGGCCCCAATGTAATAACATCCTTTCAACAGAAACTCCCAGTGAGACAAAATGAATAGCAGATATTGAAATTGTATTGTCTCAAGATATGCCTAAATTATTCAGATCCCGCGAAAACGCAATAGCTTTCTTTTTCATTACCAAAAATGATCTGGAGTGGTGGCCCTTCAACTCTACGCAATGACGTTAAATTGGTTGAACGAAAATACTTTTTTATGTTGCTTTCGAATTATTAGTCTCAATTTAGAAATGTTTAGTTTTAATTGCTCATGTGGAACAAAATTTTTCATACCCTTCTGTGGCCTCAGCATGGGTGTTTTTCTGGTGACAAATCAGTTTCTTCGTGGTACTCCTAAAGTCTGTAAAATGTTATAATTCAAAGGCCTGTTTGTGCTTCAGGCAAACGTAAAAGCAAGATGACTTGGACGTCACGAAAGATTTGCTTAGCTGCAAAACTTTGCTTGTGTTTGTGGACCAGCCATCCAGAATAAAATCCTTCCTCAAAATAAAATGATTCATGTATCCCGCACTTTGCACTGATATGAATAATTCTTGGCACGACTCCAATAGCTTTGGTGAATACCATCATGCAGGCATGCGCCCAAAAGGCCAACGACGTTCGGATGTCTCCTGATTTTTGCCATCGTCTGAAACTCGGCCATAAAATCCTCAGAAGCTTTCGTTGTTGCACCAGCTGTGAAAACAGAAACAGAAGTATTTCTTTTCTGTAATACTGATATGGAATCTAAATCTTATCCCCATAGCTATAATCGATACACATTGACCAAGATAAAAACGATACATGCCAAGACGGTGTTTTTCCGTGCTAATAAGCAATATCTTAATGCATGCACCTTTGAGATTTTTGACTGCGACTGTAGATATTTTGCCCCGTACGTTCAGGCCACCGGCTCGTACTTCCCCGAAGTTACCCTTGCCAAGAACCTCATCCCCAACCGTAAGATTCCGCCATTTTATTTCCAGCCCTGTCGCCCATGGCGGTAGGCTAATGTGCTCGTAGACGCCTGTGTCGTCGTGTGGCGTCCCTGGTAATTCAGCGCCACGTAAATGTGGGGATTCTGTGGCGTGTATGTCAGATTTGCTAAAGGGAGAATGATCCTACATGGGCAGGGACGAAATTAAAAAAAGAAAAATTGGATTACCGAATCATCGAAGTAATTTTCATATAGGTCATTCTAAAAATATGAAGGCCGACGTTACCACCGACGTTACCACCCGATCACACTACCCACCGTCGTCAAACGAGGTTATATAGAGAAATAATACCATTTGGAAAAGGGCAAAAATGCATTTATGGTTTTACCAGATCAAGAACGTGTTGAAGGGGGCGTTCGTCTTTAAATAACCATCAGGGCTACCCATTTCGACAATAAAAACAGCTACCTTTCACAATTGATCTTTTCTAACATGCAAGAATTGAAAACAACTTAAATTGGAAAAAAATACTCCCCTGGAACCAAGAACACCCACAGTACTAATGGCTTTCCTCACCCGCTGCATTACACAAGCCAGCTCCACAGAACCCCCCCCCCCTTTTTTTGCGCCTAGAAACCCAAACAATGACACTAAAGCTATAACACATTTTAAGTATTAAACCATTATATATTTTGGCCCTTTTCTGACCGGCATTTTCTCAGTAAACGCTTGTAATCGCACCGGATGCGTGTAACAATTTCTGTCCTTGTTACACTTGGCCGACCCGGGTATAATAAACAGAGTTGTATCACTAAAATTGATTTCAAATTATTTTATTTGTTTCAAAGCTATTTTACCTTACTCAATCATTTTTTGGAAATTAAGGACTTAAACTTTTAACTTGCAGAATCAAATGTCAGAAATAAGAAGCGCAAGAAAAAATTGGACCCCAAATTTATAGAATAACCCATGCATGTACATCTGGTTGAAGTTATTTCAAATCTGACAACTGTTTGGTTTTAGCCAATTTCGGGGACTTGTCATTGCAAACATTGTTTTCATAAGGAACATCCGTATCGTCGTAGAGTTGGAAAGGAATTCAGTATTTCTCATTCCTCCATTTCCAGCACAAATGAAAACCCAAAGTCATTACTGTATATCGGCTTACGTGATCTTGAGTGAATACAATCCTGTGTTCAGAGGAACCTTTGTGTTGGATTCGTTTCCTCAACACGACGCATCCGGTGGCGACAGCAACAGCAAGAATAACAAACATTCCTCCGAGAATGATAGCTGCCATGTTCAGCACCTTGATCGCACGAACTAGATAGGTGAAATGATTTTAAAATCAGTGGCATGTATAATATTGATTTCAGAAAGGTACACTCAACAAGAAATGTGAAAAGGTTTCAAACCATTATCAAACTACCAACCTGTCACAGTCAAAGGTGTGGAAAATCTTACATTAGCTTCCTGAGAATAGAACACAAATACCTGCACTGAAACAAGAATCATGAATTGTGGCAAGGTTATACACTAGGCATATTAAAAGTCTCAGAATGACTGGAAACCTATGGTATCAGCAAAAAAATAAAATATGTTGTCTTCATAATGGTTCCAGGAGATTACAGTTGGACTGAGAATTGGGCAAATCACCAGACTACGTGTATTTCATAGTTAAATGAAATCATTATATATTATAACGATACTGCAGATTGTGCTTAAAAGGTTTGATGGATCGCAAGTCCCGTCAAACATACAATATCGTTAACTTTGCTCATTGCTCCAATTCGTATTCGGTAGGAAGCTCCAGTAACCAGTGGGGCGTTGTAGAATCTACCGTGGATCAGGGAATCGCCGACAGTAAAAGGTACTGTGACATCAGTATCTGGTATCTCAGCCGCTATGTAGTCTTGAGCTGAGTCGCGGTAGTGTCTTGGGACAAAGGCTTCTCGCTTTGTCTTGACCAACTCTTGCTGTACTCTGATGACATAAGCACTGTAAATGGTGAAAAAGGTGAGAAACACTATCATATGTCCGTAAAGGGCTTGCGTCTCTATTTCGTTTTTTTAGATGTCTCACTGAAATTGATACTGTGCACTTACAACTATTAGGCCTCCACGTTTCAATGTAATGCAAACGAAACTTTTAGGGCTAACGTCCATTATGTCTCTGACGAGATATCTGTCTTTACGTCTTCCGATAAACGCCGAATATTAAAGATTTTATACATAAGAATGTTATTTTACCTTTAACCAAAGATGTCTCAGTCGCTCTGTTAAAGCTTTAAATATTCTTAACACGAATGTTTGTGGATCCCGACTCATATCCACAATTAAACAGCTGCTCACAAACAATTTCCTAAACAAAATTGTTCAATCCATTCAAAACAACTCTATTTGAGACACTAAATGTTTTGGCTTTGATTCAAACAACCCCTTCTTTTTTGGGGGTGGCCCCGTTGGATCCGCCCTTGTTCCTAGCAAGAAATGATAAAATAGATCAGTGTTACAGCAAGGGTTGGATACCGGGAGGAATCTGCTGTGAGTTCAAAAAAATCCTTAATAATAGAAAGTCAGTTTTAACTTTTCTTACACTATGTATATCGAGTCTACTCCTGTGAGACGAATTGTGACGGTTGTGTCTGTCGTTTCCTCGGAAAGTATCCTTGCAGGTAGCGGCTGCGGTATGTCTTCATCATAATATAAAGAAACACAATATAGGATAGTCTGAGTCACATTAACCTAAAGTTGTAAACCTGTTTCAGAATAAAATGGATGCAGTATTCAAAATCATACCTTTCAATGGCTGTGTGAATACTGCCAACGTGCTCCGTTTCCCTGCGTTTTCCTGATTCTGGGCAGAAACTTCAAACTCGTATTTCGTTCCGGGTTCAAAGGTATCTTTGCGATACCACGGATCATCAACATACTCCCTCGTGTATTCACTGCCTGCGGCAAAAGTCTGATCATACGGCTTCTCTGTGATTCGGTACTCAACCTTGGAAAAATATGAGTTAAGATTTACCTGTTTAATCAAATTGAAATTTCTCTAATGAAATTATAGTTTTCTTTTCAAACTTAACTAATATGGAATTAAAGGACATACTGTTAAGTACACGGTTTGAAAGCTATCCGACATATGGACATAGTTTTCTGTTTTCCATAAAACATCTTCTAGCAAAAGTAACATCAAGCATGGAGATTCACTTCACCTTCTCCTATTGTACGTAACTGATGTGAATGACTCTTCTTTTTTTATTCTTTGTGTTTGTAATCCGAATTTTCAGCCTTTGATTGGTATTCTTTAATGCAAAACTTGCTCTAAGCCAACACACTATCTCTTAATGCCAGCGAGTCTAATTGTGTCTTGTCCTCCGTTCTCATAGATGGCACTTCAAGATCAATATCGCGTACTAAATTCTTGGGCAATTTGCTGGAGTAACCAAATTTCTTCAACTACTAAAACCGTCTCCAGTAATGCAGCTAATCTGTCGAAGCTTGCCCCCTTTCTTCCACCAACTACTTTTTCACCCTTCAATTAATATTTTTCTGAATATGAATAACTGTAATATCGTTTGCGCACGACCCAGTACTGGCCAACTACACCCTCTCACTGTAATGCCAACCTATTTCCATAAATAAATTTAGACTGGTGGAACATACCATGTAACCTGCTATCTGCCCCATCGGGTCGAGAGGCTCATCCCACGCCAAGGATATTGATCTATCAGTGACATTTGTCTGATGAAGATTCCGCACAAATCCAGGAACTGTAGAAATCCATGGGGAGTAGTTACCAAAGCCCAAGAAAATGGCAACAAAGGAAAATTATTTTTCAGCTATAAAAGGGAATTTGTACTCACTGTGTTTGTTTTGTTTACTTGTTTGCAGTTGTGCTGTGTCACACACAGACCTTTATATGTATATATAGTGTATAAGACTTTCATAACTTTAAGTTACCTCCGATTTGAGTGAAGGCTACCACGATGTTACTCCATGGACCGGCACCAGCAGACGTTTTGGCTCGTACCTTATTAAGCACAGAAGAACACTATGATGTTTGATAGTGGAGATATAATCAATTTAGCCTTGAAGAATCAAAGGTTTTTAAGACAATTTCACCAACACCTAAGGCAGTAGTACTGACTACATTTGACCCTTAGCAGCACTGGGATTATAGTAAGCTGATTTTACCGAGATGTTCCTACGCTATATGTTGTTTGTAACTCTTCGGTTAAAAGAAATGAGTAAAGGTGCCAGCAACTACGCGACTTTACTCCTCTCTTGAAAATGAGGACTTTCTTCAGAGTATAGTGGAATATTGTTATAACAAGGTCACTGTTTGGCTTCCTACCTGAACATGATATGTAGTGAATTTGTCTAGACCATCCACACGGTACGCGATCGATGTCATGCCAATATCATTTCGCAGAGTTGGTGACCCCGCGTCAGTCGACTTCCAGTAAGCAATGTCATAGTTAAGAATTATACCATTCGGTGGGTCGGGTGGAGACCACGTCACTGTGACTGACACGTCATCGACGTCCAGAACGTCGGTATTGACTGGAGCTGAGGGCTCTGCAGAAAGGAAAACAAATTTAATAGTTTATCTATTCTACCGTGGTAGTAAATGGAAAAGAAGCAGGTCTCTTTGAAGAATGCTAACCTGCTTCTAATGTCGTTACGCTGAGGAGCTCACCGAACGGCCCCGTTCCTGCAATGGTCGTGGCGGCAATCTGAAAACCGTACAAGATGTAAGGTGACAAGCCGTTCAAGGTTACAGATTCTTCTGTTGCATTGAGCAGTCGAAGCAGGGCACCAGATCTCATATCAATGAGTTGGTAGAGGAATCCAGTGATTACGCCGCCCCGGAAGACACATGTTGGCTTTGTCCAGGAAAAGCTGACGTTGCACTGTAAGACTTCCGTTGCTCTCAATTCCCCTGGAGCCACCTCCCGGCCTGAATCGAGAGAGACATAAATTGAGGAATGTTTTAACTGAAGTTTTCAGTTAATGTCATCGGATAGGGTGTGTTTAAAAGTCCCGTAGCTGACGTGTCTTACTTGAGCACTGGCAGTTGATACCGTAGTACGATGAGGCACAGTCATCATCGCTGCATTCTCCAGTGTCTTTGCTGCAGGTTTTTCCTGGTGCGCAGTGACATGTCTGCTTACAATCCGCACCGTAACTTCCCTGAGCGCATTCTGGTAAATGAAATCCCAAACTGGAAATGTTATGTGGTCAATTTAATATATAGATATCTATGATTTTTCTCCACCTCTCTGTTTGTTGAAACGTCTTTAATACTTTTCCGTGACGTTTCCCTGTTACCTTGCATGCAGTCTAATCCTGTGTATCCCGCAGCACACGAGCATCCGTAGGGATCAGGAAGACAAAACAAACGACCACGGCAAGCCTCGTCGTGTGGATCTGTGCTGTTGAAGCAGCGATGGCGAGCATTCTGACCGAAGATGTTACGACCGTGAACTGTGCAGGAAAAGTAATAATGCTAATGAGGACATGCTGTTGGCAGCACTTACTTACAGAAATCTGGTCAGATTCCCATTTCCAGAAAGGAAATGGCTCACCCTTTTAAAAGTGTTTTCGATCCACCCTGTGAAGTAAGAAAAATGAACCCTTCAGATGTATACCTTGCTCACAGTGTTCTCCGCTGAAACCGGGAGCACAGATGCACGATCCAGTGATAGCATCACACACTCCTCCATTGTAGCATCGACGACATACATTCAGACACGAGGGTAGACCCCACTTTTCTGATGAACATTCTGGTAGAAAAATCTTAATAACTTTTCATAATGATAACAACAGTGATAATTCCAATTGGGTTGTGTAAGATCATTTTTCTCCGATTGTGGGGACACTTTCTCAACGTTTCTCCTATCGTACCCTTTCGTAACTTTTTGTCCTAAGTGTATTTGCTTTCAGCCATAATCTACCTATATACCCCATATGTTTCAATAAAACGCCATGGTCACAACGGTTACATTTTTGATAGGCAGGGATCTGCACCACAAGAGAGTCAACTTGCAAGCATACGCCGTCGGAGTGAAAACGTCAAGCTTTCGTTAGGAGTGGATTGGACTTTATCAGGACTTAATAGGAGCAGAAACTCGGTTTAAATACAATGAACAGACGTCACGATCGTAACCAGTTGCATGTACTAGGGACATGGTAGAGATCAGTTATGTTCTGTACTTGTTGCATTTCACTCTTTTGTGTTTACCTTTTAGTGGTCAGTTTCTTTGAGTTTTGCTTCAACAAACCTCCCAAGTGTTTCGCAGCATTTTTCTTCACGCTTTATCTGAACAACAAAATGAACTCACACACCTCGCACAATGAGTCTCGTGATGCCATGCAGTCGTTGATCTTCTTGTCCAGATGGGAAACAGCTGTACACTCCTGCATCCGTCACAGCAACACGAGGAATAGTCACGTCTAGCTGGTCATCCCAAGAAATAACATCACTTCCATCGTGCTGCCATCTGTAGTCAGTATTTGGTGAATTCACATTTCGCATTTCCAATCGAACTGAATCTCCGATATTTACTGTTTTTGTTCGTTGAACTGGACGTACATGTACAGTGGATTCTAAAATTAGAAAAAAAGGTTAAAAGTCAATGAAATATATTTTCAAGTAGAATGGACTGAATATTTGTGCATTTCCACGAAAGATGATTACATCCTTAAGAGCTAATACTAATACTGGATGAAGAATCTTTACTGACCGATAAAAGGATTAATGAAGAAATTGGCTGGAACTGGAGTTGAATCTTTGACCTTGGGCACACTTTGCTCGGCGTGACCTTGGTTGTAAGGTATCCTAGTTTGTGGTACCATCTCTTAGAGCTTTTGACCACGAAATTTTCTCTCAAGGCGCTTTTCCATTGAAGTTTTCGTTTGTACAAATTACGACAACGGTTTACCGAAAAGGAGCTTATGGGATGCGGGGTGGTTGGTCGAGAGACCAATGATGATTCATTCCAGACAAGTATAATGACAATATCAATGTTTACCATCCATGGGCAAAATTATGGTCTGTATCTTTGTGACTGTCCTTCCCGGCTTGGTGGCTTCACAGTAGAAGACGCCTGTTCTATCAAGCCCATCGACTTCAGGTAACTGGATCTGTCGAAGCTGACATCCTAGCTGTTCGCTTTGCAGCTCTTTTGACCCTGAGGGCAGGCCACTGTTAGTTCCTCCCGTTGTCAACTGCCGACCGAATGACACGGCAGCAGTGAGATCTCTGTGGCCTTTGTAAGCTCCAATAGTTGCATCGTTGTCTCCAGTGACACCAAGTAGAGCAGGGTTGGTAACGAGTGTAAAATCAACTGCCCCACCTGTATTGACAGATGAAAGTGTGTCATCAATATTCATCTTGTGTAATGGGAGACTTTTTTGAGACACTTGGTGACATAAATCATTTTCTGAATGTTTGAATGGATTATGCCTAGAGATACCCGCGACCATCCTCTGTTACATCTTTTTACTTTTTGGGTCTTTTATACTGGTTGCTGTAGTGTTTAGTACGGCCTCTAGTGTTAGCAGCTGGAAAGGAAAACATTGGAAGTGCTTTGCTTCTGCTTCACAGGACGGATATGCTCACGCGTGTGCTTGTGATTCAATGCAGATAAAAGTTTTTTTTTTTTTTTTTTTTTTTTTTTCAGCTGAAAGAAGTTGCTGGTGAATAAGCACAATTCAAAGAAAGGAAGAATTAACTGTTACGCCAGGAATTGGACAGCTTGGGGTTAATTTTTACCTTGACTTGAACTTGTGACCGTTAAGTTGCAATATTGGCCTGTAACATTTCACGAGGTTCAAAAATTACTTCAATTTTGAAAACGTTCCGGTACCTGTTTCATCTTCAATTACGAATTCTGTCAGGTAGATTTCACGCATGTGCAGTATTTTATTTGTTCCAGGAAGATCCACTCTCACGTAACGAGCAGTGACTACCGGGTTGGCTGTGAACTCAATGCTCGGCGTTAAGTAGTTCGTTTGCTCATTTGTAACTGTTCCAATTTGTCTGTTGGAACTGCGATTTGGACTCAACCCAGCACTAACTACAGCACCTGCTAGACGGCGAGCTGTGTTTGAAAAAATTAAATTTAAAACTGAGCACTTTTTCTCATTTAACATTAGACAAATTAATTGATACACACCTTTTTTCATACTAAATCAATTTATTCTATATTGACACTGATATTTCAGTTTTCAAATAGATCAATGTCAAATTAAACTTTGTAAATCACTCGTGAAGTAAAAATCAATTCCTACACAGTAATTGCATCGGATATCAAAGCCAACTTTCCAGATTCTCTACAACTTAGATGATTTTACTATCAGCGTTTTCTAGATGGAATATCGAATGTTTTAACAATGACTTTGAGCAAATTACTCATAAAAGCCAACTATGTCCAAGATTGATAAGTTCAGGATAAAGGCAATCGCATTGAAATTACACAAAAAGTTACAATCATGGAATCCTCACTGAAACATCCAAACTTAACAGCAATTTACCACAATCTGAGTGGGGCACATCTTTGCATGCCAGGTCATCTCTATTAAGTATGGTTATCTTTTCCAAGCAGTAGGCATCATGCAGGTCCAACCTCCACCAAGGATTCATCTTATTTTCAGGTGATTCGAAAGCTGACGAGAGAATAAAGTAAAACGGAATGAATGAACAGTTTTTCTTTCATTATTTTGAAGTTAACCTTACATCTGGTGCAAAGGCCAGCGTTTCTCGTGTGAAAAAGTGGTGTAGCAGGATTCGAAATAATTTGTGAAATGAATAACATCTTACTTAAAAACCCATTTGATTATAATTGTTTACAAAATGGTTATTATTTTTATAGGTTTCCGACTTGCAGACGAAAACAAGACGAATTAGCTCTTAAATGTCTGCTTGGACGTTACGGGGTTTGGAGTCCACAATTCTATTTCTATTATTCTGAAAGAAATTTAACTAACCAGTTTACCACTACACATTTCTTCTTTCGTTTGCATAATTACAAAACATTCTTTGTTGTACTTGGACCATGCTCATCTTACCAATCGTTCACAACTGTTCTTGAAAAGAATAAACTTTAGTACACTGATAATTCCTATTCGTGCACCAATATGGCATAGGAATAGTGAAAGCAGATGGGGCGGGTGGAGGGAGGATCACAGCCTCTTCTTTCAGCGGCCAGTTCTCTAGGAGGATTGTCTCAACCAGAGCTGTGTACATGTACATTGGGAGGTGCGGCACAAGTGTCACCATTGGTGGAAACAAATTGTCAGGTTTATGTGCCAGTACACATGGGCAGTAGGCATACAATAGCCGCATGCTCTAATGTCACCCAATCCGACCATCCACCGCTACTTATAAGCAAGGCCTGTGTAGCAAAATAGCCTGCAAGAACTGTGATGTTAATATGTTCTCGTATGGTGCAATACAGTGGCACACTTATAAGAGAGGCTAGTCAGCGTAAAAAAAATGGAGGCAGAACGCTCGAACAAGCCTCACTTCTAAATGTGCCTACTTTATTGCATCATAATATATTAGCACCGCAGTTAAAGCATGGCTATTTAGCTGCACAGGCCTCACTTATAAGTAGCGATGGGTAGTCGGATCGGGTGCCAATGTACACAATGATGAACAGCCAATTTGTTTCCAAATCCCTACAGTGATGGTCTCTCCTCAGTGCCAGTGCCACACCTTAGGCTTTCACACAGGCTGTCGCGTACGCTTTGAGATGCAGCGGACTTCAAAACCCCATTTGCTTGTCATGTTGAACAAACTCTTGAAAAATGTTCTTCAGCAGGTGCAGAAATGTGCTGGAAATAGTTACTGAATGTTTTTGCCTTCTTTGATAATGAGGGAGTGTGCCACAAATGCGAATATTGCTGTTTCAAATTTAATCTTTTTTTTTCTTTCATGCAGTTTAATTGAAATAGTCCTGTAAGCTGAGAGATTCTTTCAGGAGATTGCGACGCTATAAGGAAAATTGGATATTTCAAAGCCTTTGATAAACGAAAATGGTCTTTCTGCTAAAGGTTTATGGGTGCTACTCTAAATCCCTAATTGTGAATTTTATCCACTTCACAACAAACTCTACCAGGAATTTTGATAATAGAAAAATTCTAGACATTACATATTTTCTCACGGTAAGCATTGAGCATGTGCTTGCTAAATTTTAAAGTCTTTATAAATCGAAAAGAGGCATTTTTTTTTAATCACTGATACTTAATCTTCTTAAATCGCGACTTTAAATCCTTTATTTATCCTTGAAATTTGTGCACTGCATAAAAAACTGATTTAAATCGAAACAATTGTAGTTTGAATTAAAGGAAAACTCCTGCCAACCTAGACTGTGTAAAACACACGTGTATACTAGGAACTGAAAATCTCAAAGACTGAGGATTGGCCAGAACCTTTAAAAATTATCAATCGATTGAAAATTAGCAGGAGTTGAACGTTAAAGAATGGACAGATTTTCACCGTACTAAAAATATTTAAAAAATATCAGTTGATTTGAATCGTTATTAAAATTTGAAACAAAGGTACTTTAAATTGGCCAAGCCTGTTTCAATGTAAAATAGCTTTACATCTCGTGCAATTCAGTTTGGTAAAAAAATCCAGTTAGAATTGATTCTGAAATGGTCATTACGTTTTAGCATGCAGATTACTATTGGAGTAGTACTCCGTGCTGACTGTTTTTCTCAATAATTATGCAACGATTCTACGAACGTACAAAATATATACACAATTACTCGTATTTATGAGATATAATGTACTGTTCTGCACCGCAGATTGAACATTTTATCTTTTTCACTTTGCAACAGAATTTTTTTTTCTTCAACTTCAATAGTTCACGAACAGTATTGGGGTTAGCATCAAAAGGAGCATTTAAGTCGAATAGAGGCTACACTCGCAGAAAACGCTTGTCATGTTAAGATGAAACTCGTTTTGCTTAAGTGTCAGTAATGACAAGAGTTCATTTGTCGAGAAGGCCAAGTTTGCGTTTCAATAGCTTTTGAGCTGGTGGGATTCGAACCTATGACCTTTTACCTGCTAGTGCAAACGTTGTACCACTCGACCATAGCTATTAGAGGTCGGATTGGTAGGAGCATGTAGCAATGGGCACAGCAGTTAGCAACTCAATCGTGTAATATTGTTAGATTTTTAAAGAGTTTTTTTCACCGCGACCATAACCCAACACACCGATTTATTTAAGTTTCATAATCTCGTCGTCTGGAACTATAATTCTAAGAACATCTTGTCAAAATATTGCCAGTGGGGCAAACCTCTTGCATTCTACTGACAAGAGCAGTTCTTATCACTTTGAACGGAGCCCACATGTGGTTTCGTTTTGCTATAATATCCTTGATGTTAACTTAAATTCTTTTGAGAATTATCAAGAGAAAGGTACGCTTAACTTACCTGTGTGCGAAGTTGTGCTGGTGTTACCGTCTATAGCTTTACATGGGCCGTGCTGATCATCCGAAGTTGAGCTCTGATCGGCATCTTTCCCGTGTAAATCCAAGGACACGGCTACAGCGTTAAATAAACGGAGTTTATTTGGATGAGTAAAATAACACTGGATAGAAGGTCGTCACAGGTGGTATAAAGCGAGTAATCATATCTTAAAAGCACATTAACCTTGTAGTATCTCTTACGCACTCAGTGATCGCCAAAGGAAGTTCACAATAAATGAATTAACATGCTGAACAAAGTTCTTTTCTTTTACTTTTTCAGAATTAAACAGATGGGCGCGTACCGCATGTGCATTTTGTACATGTAATTAGCTTGGTTAGCTATAATTTGACTCATTAAAGACTTCTTTGGTAATTAACATGTGCAACCGTTGCTGCATAAAGCGTGTGCGGTCCATTTAAAAAATGTTCAGAGGCACAAACATTGTACAGAAGACATTTTCTCTCACATTCTCAAAGTTTTATAATTTTTGTCAGCCGGAAATCCTTACCTTTTTAATGTGGAAAATTTTATGACGTATAAAATAAAGAGTCAGAGATTTGGTTTCTTTCTAGCGTTTAAGCTCCAAAGAAATTAACAGGGCTGCTTTTAGGAGTTTTTGAAATTCTTCGTAGCAGAGGCTTCATCGCAGATTTACAAACTAATGCATACACGTAACGTTCTAAAATAATGAAATTCTAATAACGAAATTCTTTTTCCTTTCTTGACGTCAACATACAGATAAATATTACTGTAGCAAAAAAAACTTTGTATTGAGCTCAAAGTAAGAAAATAAAAACCAGTCAGAGCGCGACGTTTATTCGGAAGTTGAAGCCAAGATCTGAAAAACTACACTGGCCCACGACCTAACTTGAGCGTAATTGATCCATCGTACCATGACGTATCGCACGAAAAG